GCGCTGGTGACTGACCAGGGCCGAGCTATGCGTGAAGCACTTGCTGCAGACGGGACACTTGTGGGGCTTGGCGCCCGTGTGGGTGCCCTGGTGGGTGACAAGTTCCGAGCGGCGGGTGAAGCGCTTGGCACAGCAGTCACACACGTAGGGCTTCTCACCGGTGTGGATGCGCTGGTGCTGGATGAGCGCCGAGTGGTGGCTGAAGCTCTTACAGCAGGAGGGGCAGGTGTAGGGCTTCTCGCCCGTGTGGATGATCTGGTGCTGGATGAGGTGGGAGCTGCGGCCGAAGCACTTGCCACAGTCCGTGCAGGCGTAGGGCTTCTCGCCCGTGTGTGCGCGATGGTGCGTCACCAGGTGTGAATGCCAGCTGAAGCCCTTGCCACACTGCTCGCACTTGTAGGTCTTCTTGCTGCTGTCGCCCTCGGTGGCCAGGCCCTCTTCGCCGCTCTCCGCGGCCTCAGCTGCGGGTTTCTCCTCCCTGCTGGGCTTCTCGGGGACATCGCCCCCCTGGGTTTCTGGAAGGGCTGTCTTTGGCTGCTCCTGCTCCAGAGAGCAGGACAGCGTGTCGTTCTTGATCTGTCCTGAGCCCTGGGTGCCGAAGACCACCTGCCTGCACTGCAGGGAGCCCCCTGGGTCACTGCCTGCCGTGGTCCTGAAGGGCTTCACATCCTCAAGAGCAGTGGGGGCCGGGACCTCCTTCCCCACCTCCAGAGGTTCTGGGGAAAGAGGGTGTCCAGTGAGCGAAGCTTTCATAAGTGACCCAGGTGCACAGGGTTGTGGGGAGACTGAGATAAGAGGGTGGGTTGTTCCATGAGATAAGAAAGGGCAAGCACCTGGGGACCATGGAGGATAGAGCCCCGCTCTACAAAGGAGGGACACTGGCCGCCCTGCCCTGGGACAGCCTCAGGAAGACCGTGTGTCGTGGCCCAGCAGAAAACAGACAGGAAGCCCCGATGGACAAGGGCGTTTGGGAATGAGTTTCCCTCCAACTCCCCGAGATCTTACCTGTGAAAACAGCTGTCTCCTCCTCTCCTGTCTGCTGGCTGGAGCTCGAGGCCTCGCCCTTCGCCTGCACCTGGGAGGCCCAGAAAGGCCTGCGGAAGGGAAACCCTGGCCGGAAAGAGACAATAGGCTCGGACT